ACCCCCTCCAGCACCACCGACACCCCCACAACGCTGCACCCGCCCCGCTTATTGCCGGGTAGAGCTTGAGCTTGGGGGCAGCACCTCATATTTTTCCATGCTGGGCACACAGCCCGGCGTCCCACCCGGGCCCGCGGCCCTGAGGGGTGTAAACCCCTCCACGGGAGTGCGGCGGGGGCGCGGCCCCTTTAAGAGCGCGGTGGGCGTGTCCGGTGGGCGTGTCCCGGCGGCGGCCCCGCCCCCCGCGCGCCGGCGCGGCGGCGCCCGCAAGGCCCGGCCCGTCCGACGTGGCAGCGCCTGCACCGAGCGCGGCCCGGCCCCGCCACCGCCCCGCCCGCCCGAGCCAGCCCGGGCCCCGCCATGGGCCACAGCGACATTATGAACACCGCCGAGGACTTCGCCGACCAGGTGCGTGCCCGCCCGCCTTCCCCCCCTCCCGCCCCTGCCCGGCGGGCTTTGTGCGCCGGGGCCACGCTGAGGGGCCCGGCTGAGGCAGGCCGGGATGGCGCTGCCGCCTCGGGGCCGCGGGTTTGTGGGATTACAGAGCCGTGCAGTGGTTTGGGCTGGAAGGGGGCCTAAAGATCGTCTCGTTCAAGCCGTGCCGTGGGCACCTTCCACGAGCCCAGGGTGCTCCAGGCTGCGTCCAGCCTGGCTTTGGGCACTGCCAGGGATCCAGGGGCAGCCGCTGCTTCTTCCATGGGCAGTCTGTGCCACGGCCCCATAGAGAATTCCTTCCCAGTACCCAGCCTAAGTTAACTCTCTTTTGATTTTTAGCCATTCTACTTTACCTTCTCACTTCCTGCTGGTGGAAGTAGTCTGTTTCCATCTTTCCTGTAAGTTGTCTCCGAGGGCAGCCCGAGCCCGGCTCCCACCGCCTCAGGCCCAGCGGCCGCCCCTGCCCTGGGGTGAGCGCCCGAGGCTCCCCCGCAGCCAGTTCTCCTTGGGGACAGGGCTTCTCTCGGCAGGGATTCAGTGGAAGGACAGCAGGAGCCGTCCCGGCTGGTGGAGAAGGCACAGAGGGTGTGCGGAGCCGGTGTGAGCTGGCAGGGATGGGAGATTGACCAGGTTATCCAAGCTGGCAGGGTTAGATGGGATATTAGGGAGAAATTCCTCCCTGTGAGGGTGGGCAGGCCCTGGCACAGGGTGCCCAGAGAAGCTGTGGCAGCCCCTGGGTCCCTGGAAATGTTCAAGGCCAGGCTGGACAGGGCTTGGAGCAAACTGGGCTAGTGGATGGTGTCCCTGCCCATGGCAGGGGTTTGGAGCAAGATGAGCTTTAGGCTCTTTCCAACCCAAACCGTTCTGTGATTTCATGGAACCCTGATCCATGTCTGGAAGGCCAAACTGGAAAAGGTTGGTCAGCACCGTGGTTCTGTGCTCAGGACTGGGGCAAAAGGAAAGCAAACAAGCTGATGTTGTCTTGTAAACCTTCTTACGTTTATTTCAGTGGAGGCCCGAGTGATTTCTCTGTTAAATAGAAGTTTGTGATCTCTTACAATGTCTGACAACAGGAATATTTTGAGTGTAAGTAGCTGTTCTGCTGGGGATGGTGTTGCAAAGATCTTCACAGTCATGGTGATTCATCTAATCGACAATAAGAGGCTGCAAGTAATCATATTCAGCAAATTGGCTGGAAAATCTGATTCTGCCTGGTTCTACAACCACTGTGATTTAGTGTGAGTTGTGTGGTGCACAGTAACACGTCACAGCTCTGAGGGGGCTGTGCTGCCTCTGTGTCTTTCACTGATTTCACTGGGAAAACCTGTTCTGCACTTCCTCCCCACCTCCAGATGGAAGAAGGAAAACTTGATTTAGAGACAGAGCTTCTTGTGGTGTGTGGAATACTCAGTTGAAGGGATATCTGGATTATCTTGGTCATTCTCTGTTTACCTTGTCCTCTTGCTCCTTTTAGAAGAGAAAGTAAACCATCACTGCAGTGTTCACATTACTTGCCAAAATTTGCTATGCTTGTCCTGACCTTTTTATAACACCTCTCTATTTATTCCTGTGGGGTTATTTCTAGATGTTCTTAACACCCCTTTTTTCACTCTGCTGAAAGCTCTTTTGTCCAGCTTAAATGTAGTTTGCCTCCTCCTGAAGTGAGTTTTAAATGGCACAAATTTACTTGTGCTTGGCCACATCCTGTTTAAAGATGAGTCCTGTGTTTAAGCTGCAGAATTTAGAGTTTTGCTCCTCTTACCATCAGATTGAAAAAGAATTTTTATGGTGTTCTGAGTAATAATTCCTGTGATAATTCTGACTGGTAGCTCAATCAGAACCTTTCAGTGCTGTCTGTGCTGCTAAAGCTCAGTGTCACACCAATGTGGGAGTGACTTGCTAAACACTAACCTTTGGTATATATTGTGCAGTTAACACTTGGCATTACAGGAGCTGTTAGTTCATCTTGGATGAAAAAAAATACTTGGAATGTTTGGGCTGAAATTGTGTTGAAACTCCCCTGGTGGAGGCTGGACAATGGCTGATCTGGGAGCTGAATGCATTCTCAGTGATGTTCTTGCTTTTTCCACTCTCTCTATTAGTGCTCAACACCTAATGAGTCTTAATTTCTGTAGCATAGAACCCCTGTGGGAGAATGTTAGAGCTAATTCCATGGCTTATCAGGAAATCCTGAATGTCTCTTACAAAAGCAAGAATAATCTGTTCCTTAAATTCAAGCAGTAAAGCTTAGTTTTTCTCAGATACTGTAATTTCCCTTTGAATTAACAAATTATGCCCTAGATGCCAAGATACTCAGCAGTAGTAGTGGCTCTTAATCCAGAGGTGAACTAGTGCACTGTCTTACAGGCAGCTAAGCTTGCCAGACAGCCTGTTGTCAGTGAAAGGGCTTGCCCTACTTCTCCCAAGGCTACATTCCCCTTTTCTCTCTCACCAGCACTTTTGTCATTGAACTGGGGAGCTGAACTGGCAGGAGAAAAAATTGAGGATTTTTTTTTTTTCACTTGGTTCCGTTATCTCCGTGTTTAGGTCGAGTGAGGTGCAATCCTAGGGTGAGATTGCTGGTAATAGGCTGCTCTGAACTGTAAGAATTGCAGTGGAGGAGACACCAACACCAGCCCAGTGTTACTAACTCAGTAATTTACATACTCAGAAATTAAGCCAATTTTTAGTGATTTTTGTTAAAACATTACTTGGCACCTCCTTCAGTGCAGCCACCAATAGCTGTAACTGAGGCCTGCACAGAGTGTTTAGGATTGTCTCTCCTTTGTAATCCCTTCCTAAGAGGGAGCAGATCTCAGGCAACATTCCTAATGTCTGTAATAATCTTTAGGAATAAATCCTTAGGAATGTGGGTGCTTGGTATTTCTGCTGTTCAAAAAAAGATTCATGAACAAAAATGCGAGGAGACTATTGAGTCATTGCACAGCAGTGAGAGGGCTGCAGGGAGAGCCAGACTGGGGGAGTTTAATTTGTTTTTCAAGATAAATGCTGATGTATCTTGTCCAGGTAATTCTTATACAAAAGCACAGAACCATTTGGGTTGGAAGGGACCTTAAAGCCCATTTTGTTCCACCCCTGCCATGAGTAGGGACTTTCCATTATCCCAGGTTGCTCCAAGCCCTGTCCAACCTGGCCTTGGGCACTTCCAGGGATGGAACAGCCACAACTTCTCTGGCAACCTGTGCTGGGGCCCCCCCACACTCACAGGAAGGAATTTGTCCCTAATTTCTAACTTACATTTCAGTTTCAACCCATTATTTCTTGTCCTCGATATCCTATTTTCCAAAAAATGGAAGGGAGAAGAAAACATTTCATTGTTAGTCTGAACTTAGTCAGATTAAAAAAACTAAATTTGAAAATATTCTCTAGAACTTTATCATGGCAGAGCACTGATTGTTTATCATTATAAGCCAAGTAGCTTGTTCTGGTTAGGCTGAGGAAAAATTTTCCCATGAAGAATTATAGTAAAATGCAATAAATTACTAAAAGTACCATTTTAAAGGTTTCATTAATAAATAGCCTTTTGGAAAAGGGAATTGGTATAAAGCACACTTCGTAAGGGAAAAGCATTGAGAAATCTTCCTGCAATTAAAAACCTAATTAATATTGCTGGCAATGCTCTAGTGGGTCAGAGCCCTCTTCCTGCCTTTGGAAATAAATGGGAAAGCCTATTCCCAGTTTTTTTATAGTATTTTGTATGCACTGGGCTAATGAATGTGATGGGTTTTGCTGTGCCTGATTTTGGGGTGGATCTCTTTGAGTGAATGTATCCAAGCCAGTGAAAGAAAGTGATTTTTTTTTTCTTTTTGGATTGAGCATCCTTTTCCAGGAATGTCCCAGGCTGCTGGAGGAATTTGTTCTCTAAAACAATCCCTTAAAAGTGTTCAGGATATTTGGGATATGCCTTATCAGAAGCTCTAGACTAATAATGCTGTGCAGCTCAGGAGGGTTTCCATATAGATGAGCAGTGTGCTGTTCCTCACCATAATCAGAACTTCCCTGATTCAGGAATACACAGGAAAAGGTTTTGTGCCTGGACAGAACATATCTGCAAAAATTCCCAACTCATGTCCATTTATTGGACTTACAATACCTGTAATTGTACCATGGTATATGCACTTTTATCAAAATAGGGTGGACTTTCAGCAAATGTGATGAAATGATCCAAATGAATCACTTTATTGCCTCTCTTTTGGTCAGGCATTTATAGGTTTGAAAATTTCAGTCCTCCTTTAGAAAAATGGGGGATTGAGCAGAACTTTGATTAAGGGATCCCTGGATCTTCTTGTACATCTTTGGTTGTTAAACTTAAAGGAGCATTTAATTCTATCTTTGCCTTTCTAATCCCATTAGAGGGGGAAGTGGCAACACAAAGCCCTTTTGGTGTATGTCAGTGACTTGGCTACCAACACAGAACCAGCTGTTCTTCTTTAAAATAGTTTTATTTAGAATTTTCTTGTCTTTTCTCATAATGCTTCACCTCTTCCAAGGAGACAGGACATGTGTAGAGCAGTTGATGCAAAGCCCAGAGCAGAAAAAGCCGTGCAGTTATTTGATGTTGTGAGTTTAATGCTGCCAGCTCCATCAGTGGGTTTGGATTTGGATGTGCTGTGCTCAGTGCAGGGTGTGTTTCAGGTCCCATTTCTTAGCTGCAGATATCAGACTGCAATATTCCCATGTGTGCCACTTTATCTGTGTGAATCTTAAAGGAAGTGGGCTCAGGGTGCAG